GTTAATTTTAATTTTAATTTTTAACATAAGTTCACATTCACGCTTCACAAATAAACAATTAAATAATTTTTTTTATTAAATTATTCATTTTCATCGTCAAAAATATTTACATAATTCAAATCTGTATTTCTAAAAAGTTCAAGTAGTTCGGGATCTTTAAGGTGTTGTTGTAGTCTTCTTTCTATATGAGCCCAATCCCGTAAACACGTTATCACTTCAATCATCTCATCGGTTAAAGCACATCTTCTGTCTTCAATAATCCGACCACTCGTTGAAAATTTTGACTCGGATACAATTGTAGAAACCGGCACAGATAAAATGTCACGTGCCATTTGGGCTACAATGGGGAATCGACTTTCATGTTAGTTCCACCATTGAAGAATATCCATATCATGTTGCTCCTTCATCATCATAAAGGACAAGTCCACTTGTAGGGAGCGATTCAGCTCATTTGGTCCATGTATGTACGAGTTGGAGCTGCTACTTCTGCCACGTTCCACATACGTCCACTTGCTCAATTCTTGACGGATGGCTGCATTAAGGTCCTGATCCTCTCTCCTGAATGTTCCACTTTTACTTCCACTTCCATTGTACCTGTTCTCATATAAAGAAAAAAGGCTATCCATTTTTGTTTAAAGTTAGTCAGATAGGACGAATAATCATGTCCTAAATGCTGGTCTAACTCAGTAATTATACAGTTAACTACGTGTAATTTAAACATAGGATCTAGAACAAGGTCTAATCCATATAAGAATGGAATATCTAACCAATATTTCTCATATTTTTCTTCCATCTTTAAAACAATTTCCCTTAAAACGTTATTATATCTATATTTAGCAAAATTTTTAGCAATTTGAAGTAAAATATCTAACACTAAATTAGTAGTCGGATAATAAATACCACTTAATGTATTAGTAGTGTCATAAAAAAAATTGAAGAAATGAATAAAAAAGTTCACAAACCGCCCAATCATCATAACTGACAACTTCCTCTGGATAGTGCTTCCGGTTGATGAAATCTGTAATTTGTTTCGCGGTTGGCAAAGCTTTTTTCAACATCAAGTAGGTGGAGTTCCAATGGATAGGCATGTCCGTACATAACTTCAAAGGTCAAACCGTTGGGTTGTTTTGCTTATAATATTTGACGTACTCCTGCCATCTTTTATTGCTACCGCCGACGATAAATCTGATAGCCATGCGCACCCTCTCCATCTTCAAATGTAAAGCATTTAAACCTACTTTAACTATCAAATTGATGATGTGGCAAACCCATCTCTGGTGAAAAAAATTGCCTTCACCACGCAGATCCAATCTTTTTTCAAATAAAGAGATTGTCGCGGTGTTAGCAGCTGTATTATCAAGCGTTAGCGCTACAACTCTATTAGTTAATAAATATTCTTGTAAAACTTCAAGAATTGTAAAATAAATAGTTTCAACACTATGTTTTTCATATAATGTTTAAAACCCATGAATTTTTGTTGTAAACCTCAATTATGATCTAAGAAATGTACTGTGACAGTTAAAAAATCGATTTTTGATCTACAAGCTCATATGTCTTATGTAAGTGCAATAGATATATTCCTAAAATTTTGAAATTCATTTTTAAGTTTATTATTTATTTTGTTATAAAGTTTTAGTGTATCTCTTCTACTTGTACTTTTATTAACAGGGGTATATGCTGGACAAAATACAGTTTTAATCATGTGAATAAAATAAGGATTTTCAGATAAACAAATGGGAGAGTCCATAGCAACTATGAATTTTGCTATTTCCTCTCGTGTAACATGTGCATTGTATTGTCATGTTGTGAGAGTTGAGGATTGTGGATTAAAATTAAGTTGAGTTTGAATTTGTCTACCTGATTCGCTCGAAGATGTATCTGACAACTGCATTATTTGGGGGTGCTTCTTCTCCACGTGTCGTCGCATCGTCGAAGTCCCATTCTCAGCGCCAATAATGGCTCCACATAAATTACATATCCTATACGATTCTTCCCCCTCCCCATTTGTCTTTGGTCGTTTTAATTTGGTGAAGTGTCATCATATATCATGTAACGCCTAACATGGAGGTACATGATTTAAATTATGTTTTATAGCCCTTAGTTAATTTTTATTAAAGTTATTTTAAGATAATAGGAAGAAAATGCCTTAAACTTGCATTAAGGGTAAAATGGTCTTTTCACTCAAAATTGGTTGAAAAAGTGGAGAGTGAAAAGAGGTAGAATTTGATAAAGAATACAATAAAAATGAGGGCATTATGGTAATTGACTAAGGGACAAGGATGGAATTTTCACAAAAGTGTAAGGGCAAAATGGGAAAGTGAGTTAATAAAATAAGATGATAAGGGTTTGTAACCCTTATTTCCTTCATTCCACCGCCACACTACTCCCCCATTTTCTCTCAAATTTTCATTCAATCCTCTAAGGATTTTGAGGGCTTTTAAGTGATTTTTAATAGGGTTTTGATTCAAGACTTCAAAAGGTAAGAATTTATGCTCTTTATCTATGATTTATTTGTGTAAAAGTTGAGTTCTTATGAAGTTTATGCTTAGGGTTAGAAGAAGTTTTGAATCTAACAAGAGTAGAGAGCTTAGTAGAGAAAACTCAAGCATAAGGTAAGTAGATTCCACTCAAAATCCAACTCAAGTTAAAGTTTAAGAATTCAAGTGAGTAGATATTTCTTTTAAGTATGCATATGTTATGGTTATTGAGAAATTGAGATGAGATTGATGATGAATTATGCTTGTTGTTGGATATATTTGAATACGAGAAGTGCATGTGATAGTTTGATGATGGGTTGAAATTAGAAGAATTGGAGGAATTTTTGGAAGTGTGTTTGCCGTGTAGGTATGGTGATGCTACAAGAGAGATTTTCCCTCATTTTTGGATGGTTGAGAAACAAATTGAATGATAATTAAATTAGGGTTTGTTTATGCACAAGTAATGTTTGATGAAATGCCTAAGAGAAGTATAAGTTTGAGTAGAAACCTTAATTTGATGCAACATTGCATATTTGCATTTCATGAGTGCATCCAAGTAAGAATTTCAAGCATGAGCCATCCATATGCATATAATTGTGTATGTGTAGAAATTTAAGAAAGAATAGAGAATAAAGACATAAAGAATAAAGAATAAAGCAAGAAAGAATAAAACACTCTAAGAATAAAGAGAAAGGAAGAATAAGCATTAAAGAATTAAGGAGTGGTAAAGAAGAGAAAAGAATAGGTTGTTGTGATGGGGAACCGTGAGTGCTAAGAAGAAATTCCCACATACACGCCACCTTAATTGAGTGGCATAAGAAGAAGAAGAATTGTACGGCCCGTAAGAGTGTATGTGGATGAGGGTTGTACCAAGAAGAATTTCCTACATGCACGCCACCTTAATTGAGTGGCCTAAGAAGAAAGAAGAATTTGTACGGTCCACAAGAGTGCATGTAGATGAGGACTGTACTCACTCACACGGCCAAGGTTCCAAATCCATACATCAACCGAGACCGATCAGCAAAGAATAAGAAAAGAAAGAATAAGAGAGAATAAGAAAGAATAAGAATAAGAAAGAATAAGAATGAGAAAAGAAAGAATGAGAAAGAATAAGAATAAGAAAGAATGAGAAGGCTTGAACAAGCCAAGAGAAGAAAAGAAAAGAAAAGAGAAACAAGAGAAGAAAAGAAAAGAAATAGAACAAGAAAATGGAAATAAGAAAGAAAAAGCATTTTATGCATTATTGCATATGCATTTTATTCATGCATATTGCCATGAATTTCATCATGGTTAGGAAGAATAGAAAGAATAAGAAAGAAAGAACAGAGAGAAATAGAAAGAAAGAAAAGAACAGTGAGAGTAAGAAACAGAGGAAGAAACAGTGAAAGAAAAGAGAAGAAATTAAGTAAGGAAAGAACCAAAGAAGGAGAAGAGTTAAGGGATTTACTTACTGAGCATTTTTATGCTCACCCCGTTGTTTTTCCATGTTTTTGCAGGACATAGGTGAGCAGCGGTCGGAGGGACGTCGACAAGTGGAGAGGATTGACATTACTGTCCACCGTTGCTAAGTTTTGTACTGGTTATTTTGATATATGTAAAGAATTATGTTTTATAAGTAAAGAAAAATTTGGGCCCAACTATTTTCATATACTAAGTATGTATGTTTTATTGTTTATGTTATAAAGAATACTAGTAGAAAGAAATCATTACACATCAGACATGACCCTCTTTGACGGTTGGGGGGGTTGGGCTATGCCAGTGCCCATTGACTCGCAGCTCGTATGTATTTGGCTACACCTTGTCCCGACTGAATGTGGTTGTGGAATTGCAACTGCTGCCTCTAGAGGAAATGGTGAAAATGGATTGAACCCTTCCATTTCTTCGGTAGATGGAACGTAAAACTCATTTGGGGAATCCATTATAAATTTATGATAAAATAATAAATAATTAAAATGAAAAGAAATTAAATAATAATATGAATAAGAGATGATATTGAAAAATAGAAAATATTGAATAATATAAATAAATTATATGAATAAATTATAAATATAAATATAAATTGAATGAGAATTTAATTGGAGATTTGGAATACAAAGATTGATTGGTGTGGAAAAAATGAAAGATTTTAGTGTTATTTATAGTGGTGAGGGGAATGAAAAAAAAAAGGTTATAATAAAAATTATAAGCCAACGGTTAGTAGAAAAGTTAATTTTTTTTTTTATAAATTTTAAAAAATTTATTTTAATCTTATAATTTATGTTTATTTAAAATTTATAAGGGGTATAGTAATTATATAGGGGATTAAACTGAAAAAATACAAAAAAAATTTGAGTACAGATTAAGGCCCTTGGAGGAGAGCCCAGTGGAGGGACCAGGCCGGGACCAGGCCTCAAGGACTGGGTTTTTGAACTCAGTCCCAAATGTCCACCTCTAATTCCAGTGTCAGCCCTAGAAATAAAATATATTATAAACTCTAGAAATAAAATATAATTAGTGAGTTACCACCAAACATTTGATAAAGTTTCTCAATCTTCACAAAGTGAGAGGAACTGAGAAAGAGTGAAGTGAAGGGCTTCGCAGCTGAAGATTAGACTCCATGTTGCTCCATGCTGGTAAGCTCGTCATTCTTTATTTGCATCTTCAATTTTTTTTTTTAATATTTAAAATATAAATCTGTATGCAAATTGGCTTGAAGTTGAGTTCAGCTAAATATTTTCAGTTCCTTTTCGTTAACTTTATTGACTACTGCTATTTTTTATCTGGGTTTGTTTTTCCTTTACATTTCATGGACATTCTTTGATCAAAATGAGTTCTTTATTTTTTTCCTCTTGAATGTTAACTGGGAAGGAAAAGTTTATATTGGTTTGTGTAAAGGTTGATTTTTTATGGGGGTTGAAGAGTGATCTTATTTAACAATGTGAGAATTGATAATGGTTACATTTATGAAAAATGCAATGCATGTTACTGAAATGATATCTGTGTAAAAATTTATTTGTTCTTGTACAAATTTGATGATTTTGCACATTCTAAAATCGATTAATTCAGGTCACAGTGTGATGATTTGTGTCGCATGGTGAATTTATTCTTGTTGTTAGATATGTTTGAGTGGTGGGAATATTGGTGGATGTTATTGAATGTGGTTGATTAGTTTTGAATGTAATCATTAACTTTGATATGTAATGAAGGAGTCAATATAGGTTCTCTTGTATTTGTACACTGGCTTGTATTGATAAAAGTTCTGTTTACATTCTTGAAGATGGAAATGAAAGCCCTTTGTGCAAGCCGCTTGTCCCTTTTTTCATCTCTCTTTAGAGGAACTCTTTGCGTCACGAGGTAGAGGTTTTTTTTTCTTTAATTTCAGTTTCTGTCTTCAGTTTTGAAAATTATTGTTACTCAGTTGCATTTATTTATCTATAGATGGAGAAAGGGAAAAGAGAACTCATTTCAATTTTAGCATTGGTAATGCTAAGTTAAACCACAAAGAAGTTTCATTTAAGCTCTTGCTTAAGTTATTTGGTCAAAAAGGAAATTGCTTATTCTGTGCTATATGGTCAAATCACCTTTTTTTCTATAATACTGATATTTCTTCTGTTTTATTTTTCTTAGCTCGAGCATTGACATCCTTTTATTCTTCTGTAGGACTCGACTTACTTTTCCTGAGAAACTCTTCTTTTGCCAAGCAAAACATGGTAAGCATGCTGTTCTTCTGGTAGTATTACATTCATATAGAAGCTAAACTTGTCCATATTTACATGTTCTTGTACTCTTTTTAGTATTAACACCATGTTGCGGTATAAAAGCAGCTTTTTCTTCTGGAAATGAATCATTCAACACCATAGTAGTGCCTCCAACCCTGTTAGCTGCTGAAAAAGAAGAAGCCAAATCTGTGTTATCCTTGTTCTTGAAGAAACAAGGTCTAAGCAAGGTAGCTGCTGCAAAAACCATCACTAAATCAGATCTTTTCATCGACCACCTTGTCTCAAGGCTTCATTCTGTTCATAAATCTCGGTATCTTGTAGGTTCGATTGCAATATGTATTGGATATTTTTGGCTATTGTTTTCTACATGTTTTTGTTTCTAATTCTCATTTTTGCCACTAATCAAAATTTGCTTGCCATACAGGAAGAGAGCTCACAACTCTTGAGATCAGGGACACCCTTATTCCTTATATTGAATCCCTTCTTGTAGAGAATGGAAACAGTGTCGTAAATTTAGTGGAGGATTTTCCTAATACACCTGTCAAATACAAGCCAGCTGCGTCAGTCTCTCAACACCATTCCAACTCTGACTCCAAGAAGCCAAAAGGGGTCTCTAATGCACCTGTTAAAGAAAAGGCAGCTGCTTCAGTTTCTCAATCCTTTTCTGCTTCCCTTGACTCCACGAAGCCAAAGGTGGTCTCTAATGAACCTAGTGAAGAAAAGCTAGCCACGTCAGTTTCTCAATCTGGTTCCGCTCTGGACTCTAAGGAACCAAAAGCTGTCTCTCGAATGATTGAGGTTGGCGCAGTTGGAGATTTACACCCTCAATTCCTCTACCTCTTAGAGCTTGGCATGGATCTCGAGCAGATCAAGTTAGCTACACGAAGATATCCTGGTTTTGCCAACTACAGCTTGGAGAGTAAAATCAAACCTATGGTAGAATTTCTTCTAGATCTTGGGGTACTTAAATCAGACATTCCTAAAATTCTTGTCCAAACGCCTCATTTATGCAGACGTAGTATATCTGGTAAAATAATACCCCTCATGTCATACTTAGAAGATATGGGTGTGGACAAGAACCAGTGGGCGAAAGTTATATACAGCTCCTCAGGACTCCTCACTCATAGCAGGCAGAAGGTTCAGGAAATCGTTGATTTCCTCCACAAGTTAGGCCTATCATCCATGAGTATAGTTAAAATCTTGATTCAATGGCCAAGGATCGTTGGTTACAATGTGGAGGAGAATCTACGACCAACAGTTGAGTACTTCCGTTCATTAGGGGTTGACGTCCCCATGCTTCTTCGAAAATCACCACGGACTCTCGGTCGTAGTATCGAAGGCAATCTGAAGCCTGTGACTGAATTCTTCTTGGCAAAGGGGTATCGCGTGGAAGATGTTCGGACCATGATTTCGAGATATCCAGCTTTATATACTGTTAGCTTTACAGAGAACTTGATACCAAAATGGGAGTTCTTTTTGACCATGCGTTATGAAAGATATGAGCTGGTTAAGTTCCCTACATATTTTGGTTACAGTTTGGAGCAGAGAATAAGGCCAAGATATGTGCTTGTAAAGGAGTCAGGAGTCAAAATGGTGCTCCCCAAGATGCTATCTCTGTCAGGCTGTGACTTTGAGAAAGTTTTGAAGATTAAAATACTGAAAATGGTTATCACCACATGACTCCTCGGCATGAGAAAAACTTACATAAGACAATCTTACCATATCATCTCTTAAATTCGGTGGTCTCACCACATTACTAAACCGACGTAGGAGAAACTATCAAGTTGGGATATTTGATGTGGAACATTCTAGTGATACAACTGTAAATGGACAGTCGATCTAATGTCAAAAGACTCTTAGAATGTATGAAATTACAAAGGTTTGCGAAAGAACCTTGTTTCCTTCTTTCTTTCAAATGTCAAGGTTTATTGTTAAATAATATTATCATATTAATAGTTGTCCAATTTATAACACAATAATTTCTTTTAAAATTTGATTTATGAAATCAAAGAATTTGAAGAAATGAAAACATTTTGAAGTTATACTTAAGCGAAATGGTATAATTTTGTCATTAACTTTTATGGAAAAAAACAATTATTGAAAAAACCTTATTCCCATTTCAAATGTAAGAGGGGATTTGAGAGAAAATCATACTTAGATAGGAATTAGAAGGTGTATCAAGCAATGTTCCTTTCTGTATAATATGGAAAGTAGGTACATTTACCCAAAAATAATAATAATAATAAATCACATTTTATTTTACAAAAAAACTCATGTCAATTTAAAAAAAAAAGAAAAGAAATCTAATCAATATGACACATTTTGATGAATATATTTTTAAAAACAAAAATGATTTTGTCATGATTGATATAATCAATATTCTAAAAATCAGACCGGACCGGCTGGTTAGACTGGTCCGACCAGGTTTCGTTTAACACACCGATTCATTAATACAATAAAATCGAATTTTTTATTTAGACCGTCTTAAACCGCTGTTGGACTGGGGAACAATGTCTGACTGTCGGTCCAATTGACCTGACAGCAAATCTGGTGGAAATGAACTATTAAATATTATCGAGCACTCTTACTTACCAGTAGAAATATTGTTTGGAAAGGGTATTTTGGTCTATCCATTAAAATTGGGGTTAAATACTTCAAATTTTTTTTTTTCGTGGTGGGTTATTTTTAAAAACTCTAATGAAAATGTGATTGTTCTTTCAAACACCTAAATAAAAAGTTAAAAATTATACATATAATCAACTTATTAATCATAGTTGTTCAAAATCTACTTACTTATTTAAAATTTAAAAAAAAATATATACAACAAATAAGTATGATTATATATAATAATATAAAAAAAAATAGAAAATAGTTACTATCAATTCTTGCCAATGTTCTGAAAACCAGACAGGACCGGCTAGTCTGACCAAGAACCGACAGCCTCTCCAGTTTGGTTTAGGTTCTAGGTGGGTTTTTGTTATATTTTAAACCTGTAGGGGTTACTATAATTTTGTAGGGGTGTTTTTGAAGTATTTCAAACCGCTAGGGAGCAGAAATTTTTTTGGGTATTTTTTGAAATATATTAAATTTTTAGGGACTAAAAATGATTAGGGATATTTTTGCAATATACAAAAGTTAAAGGACTAATTAAATTATTCATGATTTTTTGTTGCTGACCGGTCAATCCATGAACCAGGATTTTGACCGGGTCAAGGCCCGGTCTAGTTTTCTAAACATTGGTTCCTGACCAAAGATCATATTACTTGCTCTCTGTAGTCTGTACTCTGTATGACTTGAAAGTTGAAAGTTGAAACCTTGTCAACAAGGATGATCTTCCTGTTCATCTTCAAAACTTTCTCAAAGTGAGGGAACGATAGTGCTAACATGCTGCTCAGCGGAATTTTCACTCCGACCTCCTTTACAAGTGCAAAACGTGGTCTGATTCTCTGTTCCAAACTGTAACTAAAATACTGACGGAACTTAACCAGCTCAGATTTTGAATAACCCATTGTTAAATAGAATTTCCATTTCGGTATCAAGTTCTCCGTCAAGCTAGGTTTTTATTTTAGGTTTCAGTTTGGGTTCTTGAAGATGGCAATGAAGACCCTTTCTGGAAGCCGCTCTTCTGACCCGTCATCTCTCTGCAGAGGAGCTTTCTACATCACTAGGTATTTTTTTTAATTAATTAATTAATTTTTTTTTTCGCTTCCAAAAAGCATTAATTTTTATTTTCATACTATTGCTATGAAGGCGTATTGTTAAGTTTTAGGAGACTCGAAGTGGAAAGTTACAGTGTATTAGGTTGCATGTTAAAGAGGAAAAACATTTACTCTGTTACATGTTGTGAGTGTGTGGTGAATTTGTGATTTCTTCTAATCACAATTTTGAGTTTCATTTTAGAAGATTAGTCAAACAGAATATCGAAATCTCGTGTACTTTTTTACTTGTATAGACTTCATTTTTTGTTCTGTATCTATGAGGGATAGAGCATTGATGATTTCATTTTGTTCTTCTACAGGACTTGACTTACTTCTCCTGAGGAATTCTTCTCTTGCCGAGGAATAAGTTTTTCTAGTAGTATCTCGACCTTCTTACAAAAGCTAAATTACAGATATTAACATGTTTCTTTCCTCTTTGTGGTATTAACTTGATGGTGTTTTGATATAAGAACAGCTGATTCTCGTGCAAATGAATCATTCAACTCAAGAGTGCATCCTCCAACGCTGTTAGTAGCTGAGAAAAAAGAAGCCAAGTCTGTTTTAAGCTTGTTCTTGATGCAGCAAGGTCTGAGCAAGGCAGCTGCCGCAAGAACCATCAATAAATCAGATCATTTCATCGACCACCTTATCTCAAGGCTTCACTCTGCTCATAAATCTCGGTATCTTGTAGGTCCGGTTGCAACATGTAGTTTTTCTTTTTGGAACTTTTATTTCGGTGTCTTTTTTCCCATGTTAATCAGTTTTATTTGTTATTGCAGGAAGAGAGCTCACGACTTTTGAGATTAGGGACACCCTTAATCCTTATCTTCAATCACTTCTTGAAGGGCATGGAAATTTTATGGTAGATTTAGTGAACAACTTTCCTACCACACCTATCGAAGAAAAGCCAGCTGTGCTAGTTTGTAGATCCCATTCCAGCCTTGATCCAAGAAGCCAGAAGCATTCTCTCATGTAAGCGCCCCAAGTCCAATAGCAGATCTATGCCGTCAACTGTGCTACCTCTTAGAGCTTGGCATGGATCTTGAGCAGATCAAGTAGCCACACACAGATATCCTAATTTTGCCTACTGCAGCTTGGAGGGCAAAATCAAACCACTAGTTGAGTTTCTTCTTGATCTTGGGGTACCTAAATCAGACACTCCTACTATTATCAGAAAAATGCCTTCTTTATGTGGACATAGTCCATCTAAAAAAATAAAACCCAGCATAATATACTTTGAAGATTTGTGTGTGGGCAAAAGTCATATGTCGCTGCCCTGGACTCCTCTGTCATAGTAGGCAGAAAAGGTTCAGGCAGTAGTTAATTGCCTTCATGAGTTGAGCTTATCAGGTGATAGCATAGGTAAGGTCTTCACTCGGTTCCCAAGAATTGTAACTTGCAGTGTGGAAGACTATCTCAAGCCTTTGAACTATTTTTTCTATGAATGGGGATTCAGTGTGGAAGAAGTGAGGTCCATGGTGTCAACATTTCCATCTGTATATTCTTACATCTTGATACCGAAATGGGAGTTCTTTTTGACCATGGGTTATTCAAAGTTGACATTGTTAAAGTTCCCTCAGTATTTTAGTTACAGTTTGGAACAGAGAATCAGACCACATTTTGCACTCGTCAAGGAGTTAGGAGTGAAAATCGGGGTGGATGGCATGTTAGTACGATCACACTGTGACTTTGAGAAAGTTTTGAAGATGAATAGGAAGAACATCCTTGTTGACAAGTGGTCTCTAAAATTTTAATTTATTTAAAAAATACCCCAAAAATTACAATTAGTCTCTAAAATTTTGAAATATTACAAAATACCCCTAGAAAATTTATTCTGGTCCCTACAACTTTGAAAAAAATCAGAAACCCTCCTGGAACCTGAACCGGACCAGAGAGGCTACCAGGTCCCAGTCCGGTCCGGGTTTTAAAACTGTGATCAGATCAATTACTTTTTTATATTAAAGTGAAATGATTTTTATAAGGTTTGGGAGTAGTTGATATTTGAGAATATCAAAGAATAAAAGTTATATCAATTGCAAATATCATTGCCCAGCAAATCGATCAGCATGAATAGATAAACTTGAGCTGATACCACTGTCATCATTGTTGAAGTAAGAACCATTCCACTATTTTCTCATATATAGCTTTTGCATTTTGAAATTTGCACCAGAAATAATCCTCACTCACAAACTTCAGGTGCAAATACTGATGCCGCCTGCAATGCTGCCCATTGGCCTCCACTTTACGCACTCACACTAGAGACATATGTCTGATCTGGGAAGCCATTATTATCAATCATCACATCACCATCCCTATCAAATTTTGGTTCATATATATCATCACAACATAAACTGAGGATGAATAGGTTGTTTGATATGAAACTTTGCTATATTTGAATTTAAGCTTTTACTGAAATACAACTATGTCGTTTTATATTATAAGTCTGTCGTTAAAACTAAACAATATTTTATATCAGAAAACATGTATGTTTTGAGATAATGAGAATGTAGATTTGACATCTTCACTGCATTTAAACAGCACAGGTTATGAATATTATATCAAATGAGATACAACTGAGTCTTTGAATATTAAATGTTGAAGTCTTTGTTTTAATGAAAATCACTTTGTGATAGGAAGTTAGCGGGCTAACACATAATCAAGTGTAATCAAAGATAAAACCATTGAAATTTCCAATGATAATTTTGTTGACATGTCTTGTTTAATGTTTGTTTTCTCCAGTAATGATTTTGCATATCAGATGATAGCATAGGTAAGGTCTTAACTTACTTCCCAAGAATTGTAAATTGCAGTGTGGAAGACAATCTCCGGCCGACAGTCGAGTACTTCAAACGGTTGGGGGTTAATGTTGCCATCATTCTCCCCAGATTTCCAAAGAGTCTTCGTTGTGGTATCAAGGTCATGGAATTCAAAATCATTTTACAAGATAAAAAAACCAAAAATTCATAGATAAAAGCATAAACAATTATAAGGGAATGAATGATTATTGTTGCTAATAGTTTGACCATCATCGAAGAACACGTCTAATGACACTGTTAGCGTTAAATTGATTTTCATCTGTTACTCAACTTAATCATGTAGTTTTCATTAGGATAAGAGAAATTCTTCACTCATATTTGATGGTAAGAAACGTTGCGGAGTGATGTGATTAGACACAAGATGATTTTTATAATCATTCAACAGTGTTCATTAACATATTCTAATCCTATTGACGTTAGCAATATCACAATCAATTACCCCCTCCGTTTCCAAATAAGTGACGTTTTAGCTAATTGCACAATTTTTTATGCATTGATTTTTTTAATGTAAACAAAAAGAGAGAGGAGGCGTGGGCATACAAAAAAGTGGAGAGAGAATATTGAGGCAGACTCGTAGAGCAAAGAAAGAGAAAGAGAAGAGATGTGGGCCATCGCAAAAATGAGAGAATAGAGATATCAGACAACTGAGACAAAACAAGCGACACTTATTTAGAAAAAAAATTATACCCCCAAAACGTCATTTAAAAAAAAACGGAGGGAGTATGATTTTTATAAATTAACAAAAATTCAATGACAATAAATAAAAATTATAGGTTCCAAATTATAATTTTTGATTCAGTATCTTTACATTAAGCACACTCAATAGTTCATTTCCCTTACATAACTTAAAACCGTCACCAATAACTAAAAAAAATCTTAAAAGGACGTCATAGATAGTTTACTAACTATATGGGGTGTTTTAGATGTTTCATTGATAGTCATAGTAAAATACCTAAATCAACCCAAAATAAAATAAGATACAACAAAGTCCTCCATAACTTCGAGCATTACAGTATCAACCCTAGAAATAAAATATATTATAAACCCTAGAAATAAAATATAATATAAGCCCAAAATTACCACCAAACATTTGATAGAGTTCCTCAATCCTCACACAGTAAGAGAAACTAAGAAAGAGTGAAGTGAAGGGCTTCGCAGCTGATTATTAGACTCCATATTGCTCCATGCTGGTAAGATCTGCATTCTTTATTTGCATCTTCAATTTTTTTTAATACTTAAAATGTAAATCTGTAAGCAAATTGGCTTGAAGTTGAGTTGAGCTAAATATTTTCAGTTCCTTCTCGTCAACTGTATTGACTACTGCTATTTTGTATCTGGTTTGTTTTTTCTTTAAATTTCATGGACATTCCTTTGATCAAAAGTAGTTCTTTATGTTTTTCCTCTTAAATGTGAACTGGGAAGGAAAACATTAAATTGGTTTGTGTAAAGGTTGATTTTTTAAGGGGGTTGAAGAGTGATACTATTTAGCAATGTCAGAATTGATAATGTTAACATTTATGAACAATGCAATGTATGTTACTGAAATGATATTTTTGTAAAAAATTATCTGTTCTTGTACAAATTTGATGATTCTGCACATTCTAAGGTTGATTAATTCAGGTTACAGTGTGGTGATTTGTTTCGCATGGTAATCTATTCTTGTTGTTAGATATGTTTGAGTGGTGGGAATATTGGTGGATGTTATTTAATGTGGTTGATTATTTACGAATGTAATCGTTAACGTGGATATGGAATATATAAGTTGACTTGTATTTGTACACTGGTCTTGTACTGATAAAAGTTTCCGTTTACCTTCTTGAAGATGGAAATGAAAGCCCTTTGTGCAAACCGCTTGTCCAATTTTTCATCTCTCTTTAGAGGAACTCTTTGCATCACGAGGTACTGGTTTTTTTCCCTTTAATTTCCGTTTCTGTCTTCAGTTTTTAAAATTATTGTTACAGAAAAGCAGAAATCTTTGTTCCTGTTGTTCTTTTGTTTATATGTTTTTGGGGTGAATGATAACATGGGTGCTACTATGTTAAATTATATTCCAACTCAGTTTTTTTTATTTATCTAGAGAAGGGGAAAGGGAAAGGGAAAGGAAAAAGATTGGTAATGCTAAGTTAAACCACAAAGAAGCTTCATTTAAGATCTTGCTTAAGTTATTTGGTCAAAAAGGAAATTGCTTATTCTGTGCTATCACATTTTTTTTTTTTTTTTAATACCGCTATTTCTTCTATTTTATTTTTCTTAGCTCGAGCATTGACGTCCTTTTATTCTTCTGCAGGACTCGACTTACATTTCCTGAGAAACTCTTATGCCAAGCAAAGCTTGGTAAGCTTGCCGTTCTTCTTGTAGTATAACATTCATATAGAAGCTAAACTTATCCGTATTTACACGTTCTTGTACTCCTTTATTAACACCATGTTGTGATATAAAAGCAGCATTTTCTTCTGGAAATGAATCATTCAACACCACAGTAGTGTCTCCAACCCTGTTAGCTGCTGAAAAAGAAGAAGCCAAATCTGTGTTATCCTTGTTCTTGAAGAAACAAGGTCTGAGCAAGGTAGCTACTGCAAAAACTATCAATAAATCAGATCTTTTCATCGACCACCTTGTCTCAAGGCTTCATTCTGTTCATAGATCTCGGTATCTTTTAGGTTCGATTGCAATCAGTACTGGTTATTTTTGGCTATTGTTTTGAAGTGTTTTTGTTTCCAATTCTTATTTTTCTCACTAATCAAAATTTGCTTGCCATATAGGAAAAGAGCTCACAACTCTTGAGATCAGGAATACCCTTATTCCTTATATTGAATCTTTTCTTGTAGAGCCTGGAAACAGTGTCGTAAATTTAGTGGAGAACTTTCCTATTATACCTGTCAAAGACAAGCGAGCTTCGTCAGTCTCTCAACACCGTTCCACCCCTGACTCCAAGAAGCCAAAAGGGGTCTCTAGTGCACCTGTTAAAGAAAAGACATCTGCGTCAGTTTCTCAATCCTTTTCTGCTCCCCTTGACTTCAAGAAGCCAACGGTTGTCTCTAATGGACCTAGAGAAAAAAAGCCAGCCATGTCGGTTTCTCAATCTGGTTCTTCTCTTGACTCTAAGAAGCAAAAGGCTGTCTCTCAAATGATTGAGGTTGGCACGGTTGGAGATTTACAACCTCATTTCCTCTACCTCTTAGAGCTTGGCATGGATCTTGAGCAGATCAAGTTAGCTACAAGCAGATGTCCTAGTTTTGCCAACTACAGCTTGGAGGGGAGAATCAAACCACTTGTTGAGTTCCTTCTTGATCTTGGGGTAGCTAAATCAGAGATTCCTAAAATTCTTGTCCAAAGGCCTCATTTGTGTGGACATAGTATACCTGGTAAAATAATGCCCATCATGTTATACCTAGAAGATATGGGTGTGGACAAGAAACAGTGGGCAAAAGTTATATTACGCAGCCCAGGACTCCTCAGTCATAGCAGGCAGAAGCTTGAGGCAGTTGTTAATTTCCTTAATGAGGTTGGCTTATCAGGTGATAGCATAGGTAAGGCCTTAACTCGGTTCCCAAAAATGGTATCTTGCAGTGTGGAAGGCAATCTGAAGCCTGTGAACAAATTTTTCTTTGAAAAGGGATTCAGTGTGGAGGAAGTGAAGTCCATGGTGTCAACATTTCCATCTGTATATTCTTACAGCTTGACGGAGAGCTTGATACCGAAATGGGAGTTCTTTTTTACCATGGGTTATTCAAAGTTGGCGCTGGTTAAGTTCCCTCAGTATTTTAGTTACAGTTTGGAGCAAAGAATCAGACCACGTTTTGCACTTGTGAAGGAGTTAGGAGTGAAAATCGGGCTGAACCGCATGTTAGCAGTACCGTTCTGTGACTTTGAGAAAGTTCTGGAGATGAGCAGAAAGAATATGCTTGCTGACGAGCTTTCCAGTTGTCTTAAGAGCAAGTAATGATCTTCGGTTAGGAACTGGATTCTACGACTTCTAAATGGAGTGCCCAGTAGAATGAAGCATTATAATGGTACTTGGTACAACTACGTGATCAAAACTGTATTTTATTACTTCACTAATTACTGGGGCATTTCTTTGCACTGTTTTGAAGAATAAGAAACATCTGAAGCACAACGGCGAGCGAATTTTCAGGCTGTGACTCCTAGTCATGAGAAAAACAAATTTATATGTGACTCTCTCATCTTATCATCCGTTAAATGATATAGCCTCACCAAATCACGACATTGACATGAAAGTATTATCTAATTAAAATATGTAGTAGTATATGAAGTGTAAGTTGTTTCCTTCTTGCTTAGATTTTTCCAATGTTTTTGCCTTTTTTCAAGTGTAATGCATGGAGTTCATTTTTTTTTTCTTACTTCACTACAAGAGAAGACCGTAAAACGAAAGATGATTTTACATTTTACGAGATAAAGAAACTAAAATTTCAACGACAAAAGCATAAACAAACATAGCCTAATTATCTAGAATTTTAGAAAAATCTCTTGCATTGATATGAAAAAAAATGAAACAAATTAACGAATAAGATGTAAAGAATAAGAAAGGCTTTACCTTCATAGTGTTTTTAATGAGATCGAATTGAGAATCTATTGAAGGATGAAGCAAAGAGAAATCCAGATAATTAATATAATGCGATTAGCGTTGATCGAAAATAGGAAAATCCATAGAACCCCCATCTGTTTATAAAATTTTCAATCTTAACCTTATTCCCTATTCCCTTGTGCCATTACGTTAAATTGATGTTTTTACTTTGTAGGGTAAAATTAGAGTTTCACAAAAATTTACATGTTCTTGTACTCTTTTTAGTATTAACACCGTGTTTGATATAAAAGCGCAGCTTTTTCTTCTGGAAATGAATCATTCAACTCCTTAGTAGTGCCTCCAACCCTGTTAGCTGCTGAAAAAGAAGAAGTCAAATCTATGTTGTCTTTGTTCTAGAAGAAACAGGGTCCGAGCAAGGTAGCTGCTGCAAAAACCATCACTAAATCAGATTTTTTCATCGACCACCTTGTCTCAAGGCTTCATTCTGCTCATAAATCTCGGTATCTTGTAGGTTCAATTGCAATATGTACTGGTTATTTTTGGCTATTGTTTTTGAAGTGTTTTTGTTTCTAATTCTCATTTTTCCCACTAATCAAAATTTGCTTGCCATATAGTAAGAGAGCTCACTACTCTTGAGATCAGGGACACTGATGAGCAGCTAGGGAGGTTGCTCTACCGTAGAAAGGGTAGAGGTGAGAAGTAGAGGAGTATTTGTTATGCAGGAGGTTAGGACTTGTTGTGGGAGGACAGGTGGCCTAATGAGATTGGATGGAAGAAGAATTCGGTTAGGGGCAAAAAGGTGTCAGGGAATAAAAGGGAGGGAGAGAAGGAATTGAGGATATTCAGAAAAGAAGGTTAAGGTTTGGAAGGGGAGATGACTGACCCTCGAACTTCAGTCTTATCTTTATTTGTTTCTTTATTGCATTATTTTAAAACCTGGGCTGGTCCAGCCGGTTGAACCGGTTGAACTGGGACCCAACAGCTTCAACATGTCGGGTTTAACTTTTCCGATTCACCTGAAACTCTAAGATTTGGGAGGATGATCAGCAAACAATCGACAGCTGGAAGGTTGGGGCTTTTGAAGACTAAGTTCCGGTGAATGCAATGGTGGTGATGACGTTGATTTCCGGTGAGTAAATCGACCGGAAATCGAACAAACCTGGCAGCGGCAATAATGGGGTTTTTCTGGCGATTGGCGAGGCTAACAGGGGTGGGGTGAGGTGGGTTTGGTCGAGACGAAGAGGGGAGTAATTCCTAGGTGGTGGGGAGGTTTGTTGGCACCGGTGTGGATGAGATCTGGTCTGGAATACCCATGCCCGCGTCGGTGAGGTCTGGCCGAAATGGAAACTATTTCGGCCAGATCTTGGATAGATTTTAATGGAAATGGGCTCAGGGGACGATTGGGGTTACATCTGGGGTGTTGTCGCTACCAATCAGTCGCCGGTCGATTTTCATTTGGGGTGTGTTTGATAAAGTTCAAACATGTAGGGACTTGTAGGTAATTTTTAGGGGTGTATTTGTTGAATTTTAAAAATTTTTGTCAACTGGACAACCCGAGATCCAGAAACTTTGCCGGGTTTCACCCTGGGTTGGGTTTTAAAACATTGCTTTATATTACTTAGCATTATTCTCAATTGTTACTTCTTCATTGGGTTGATGATAGAACATGATCTTTGGATGTATTGTTCTATTTTGATATCAATATAGAGAGTTATTTCCTTTTCTTGTCCGTGACTATTGATTGTGAATTGGTATTGGATAGAATTGTCTTGTGTTACTTGGTGAATTGCAGGTCAGTGGTCTATCCTTATATTGAATCTCTTCTTGTAGTTTTTCTTTTTGGAACTTTTATCTCGGTGTCTTTGTTCCCATGCTAATCAGTTTTACTTGGAGAGCTCATAACTCTTGAGATTAGGGACACCCTTAATCCTTATCTTCAATCACTCCTTGAAGAGCATGGAAATTTTATGGTAGATTTAGTGAACAACTTTCCTACTGCAGCTATCGAAGAAAAGCCATCTTTGCCAGTTTGTAGATCCCATTCCGGCCTTGACTCCAAGAAGCCAGAAGCATTCTCTCGTGTAAGCGCCCCAAGTCCGGCAGTAGATCTATGCCGTCAACTTTGCTGCCTCTTAGAGCTTGGCATGGATCTTGAGCAGATCAAGGTAGCTACACGCAGATATCCTAATTTTGCCTACTGCAGCTTGGAGGGCTAAATCAAACCACTAGTTGAGTTTCTTCTTGATCTTGGGGTACCTAAATCAGACATTCCTACCATTCTCAGAAAAATGCCTCCTTTATGTGGACATAGTCTATCTAAAAAAATAATACCCAGCATAATATAATTTGAAGGTTTGGGTGTGGACAAAAAAAAAGTAGGCAAAAGTTATATGTCGCTGCTCTGGACTCCTCTGTCATAGTAGGCAGAAGGTTCAAGCAGTAGTTAATTTCCTTCGTGAGTTGGGCTTATCAGGTGATAGCATAGGTAAGGTCTTAACTCGGTTCCCAAGAATTGTAACTTGCAGTGTGGAAGACTATCTCAAGCCTTTGAACTATTTTTGCTATGAAAGGGGATTGAGTGTGGAAGAAGTGAGGTCCATGGTGTCAACATTTCCATCTGTATATTCTTACAACTTGATACCGAAATGGGAGTTCTTTTTTACCATGGGTTATTCAAAGTTGGCGCTGGTTGAGTTCCCTCAGTATTTTAGCTATAGTTTGGAACAGAGAATCAGACCACGTTTTGCACTTGTTAAGGAGTTGGGAGTGAAAATCGGGGTGGATGGCATGTTAGTATGATCACACTGTGACTTTGAGAAAGTTTTGAAGATGAGCAGGAAGAACATCCTTGTTGACAAGGTTTCAAGTCAAACAGAGAGCAAGTAGTATGATCAGAGGTCCGGAACTGGATTGTATGTCTTCTCAGTTGAGTGCTCATTTCAATGGAGCATCCCAATGTTACAATTTTCAGACTTGACTTTAACAAGTTTGTTGGAGGTATTTTCGAGTGTCGTCCACAGCGTGGTCCGTGCTTTTCATCAAATGTTTCTCTATAATCCTTGTCTTTGCAGAAGTTTTCTCTTCTGCATTACTCCCTCTCACAAGTTAGTATTCCCAGGATGCATTGAAGTGAATTCAATCATTGTTGTTTAGATGAGCCTCTCTTCCTTATCATTCAAATGTTTTTGTTGCAAATTGTTTTTCTACTCCATTGTAAATGATAGATGTAATGGCTATAGTACTCGTTCTTTTTTTGAAGGCAAGGTTACCATTCTGAACATTTATCTGGCAAAATGGTTCTCTGGGTGCGCAGCAATTTGGCGTGCATTAAGAAGAAATAGAACCTCTCAATGTCAATTATTATACTGGGAAGATAAAAGGCTTCATTGAAAGCTTAATTAAGAGGCCATTTATCACAAAGGACAACTCTTTACCAACCCCCACTTGAATTCTATGCTTAAACAATTAATAAGCACCTTATCCTTCCAAAAGCCTACTTGAAAATAAACCATTAAAAGTACAAATCAAATTAACATTTATATAAATTAAATTTTTATAAGGTTTCGGAGTACTTGATATTTGAGAATATCAATGAACAAAAGTTAACATCAATTGCAAATATCATTGTCCACATACCATCGTCCAGCCAATTGATCAGCATGAGCTGATACCACTGTCATCATAGTTGAAGTAAGAACCATTCCACTATTTCTGAAATTTGCACCGGAAATAATTCTCACAACTCTTGTCACAAACTTTAAGGTGCCAATACCGATGCGGCCTGCAGTGCTGCCCATACGTCTATCTAGCATTTTCCTGTCAAATCCGTGGTGGATCTGACCAAAAAAGGTCACATCGACTCATGACCAGCCAAATCCGACCGGCCTGCATCGTAACACCATTTTTCAACCAGATTTAGACGGTGGTGGCCAAAATCTGGCATTGTGAGTTGGAGGGGGTGTTTTTATCAATTTACAAAATTTTTATATACTGGGGGTGTTTAGTTAAATTAGCAAACCTATGAAGTTTTTTTATTAATTTTTAAATTTTACCTCGTAATACTCATCCTATTATTCCCAAAATCCTATCTAAAATAACAAAATAAACGCACCCTTTGTTGTCATGTCTTGTTTCATGTTTGCTTTCTCCAATAATGATTTTGCATATCATAGGTAAGGCCTTAACTCACTTCCCAAGAGTTGTAAATTGCAGTGTGGAAGACAATCCCCGGCCAACAAATTCTCCCCAGATTTACGGCGAGTCTTCATCATGGCATCGAGGTCATGTAATTCAAAGTCATTTTACGAAATAAAAAAACCAAAAATTCAAAGATAAAAGCATAAACAATTATAAGGTTGAATGATTATTGTTGCTAATAGTTTAACCATCATCGAAGAGTACGTCTAACGAGATTGTTATTGTTACTCAACTTAATGACATAGTTTTCATTAGGATAAGAGAAATTCTTCACTCACATTTGGTGGTAAGAATCGTTGCGGAGTGATGTGATTAGACACAAGATGATTTTTATAATCATTCAAGAGTGTTCATTAACATATTCTAATCCTATTGACGTTAGCAATATCACAATCAATTACCCCCTCCGTTTCCAAATAAGTGACGTTTTAGCTAATTGCACAATTTTTTATGCATTGATTTTTTTAATGTAAACAAAAAGAGAGAGGAGGCGTGGGCATACAAAAAAGTGGAGAGAGAATATTGAGGCAGACACGCAGAGCAAAGAAAGAGAAAGAGAAGAGATGTGGGCCATCGCAAAAATGAGAGAATAGAGATATCAGACAACTGAGACAAAACAAGCGACACTTATTTAGAAAAAAAATTATACCCCCAAAACGTCATTTAAAAAAAAACGGAGGGAGTATGATTTTTATAAATTAACAAAAATTCAATGACAATAAATAAAAATTATAGGTTCCAAATTATAATTTTTGATTCAGTATCTTTACATTAAGCACACTCAATAGTTCATTTCCCTTACATAACTTAAAACCGTCACCAATAACTAAAAAAAATCTTAAAAGGACGTCATAGATAGTTTACTAACTATATGGGGTGTTTTAGATGTTTCATTGATAGTCATAGTAAAATACCTAAATCAACCCAAAATAAAATAAGATACAACAAAGTCCTCCATAACTTCGAGCATTACAGTATCAACCCTAGAAATAAAATATATTATAAACCCTAGAAATAAAATATAATATAAGCCCAAAATTACCACCAAACATTTGATAGAGTTCCTCAATCCTCACACAGTAAGAGAAACTAAGAAAGAGTGAAGTGAAGGGCTTCGCAGCTGATTATTAGACTCCATATTGCTCCATGCTGGTAAGATCTGCATTCTTTATTTGCATCTTCAATTTTTTTTAATACTTAAAATGTAAATCTGTAAGCAAATTGGCTTGAAGTTGAGTTGAGCTAAATATTTTCAGTTCCTTCTCGTCAACTGTATTGACTACTGCTATTTTGTATCTGGTTTGTTTTTTCTTTAAATTTCATGGACATTCCTTTGATCAAAAGTAGTTCTTTATGTTTTTCCTCTTAAATGTGAACTGGGAAGGAAAACATTAAATTGGTTTGTGTAAAGGTTGATTTTTTAAGGGGGTTGAAGAGTGATACTATTTAGCAATGTCAGAATTGATAATGGTAACATTTATGAACAATGCAATGTATGTTACTGAAATGATATTTTTGTAAAAAATTATCTGTTCTTGTACAAATTTGATGATTCTGCACATTCTAAGGTTGATTAATTCAGGTTACAGTGTGGTGATTTGTTTCGCATGGTAATCTATTCTTGTTGTTAGATATGTTTGAGTGGTGGGAATATTGGTGGATGTTATTCAATGTGGTTGATTATTTACGAATGTAATCGTTAACGTGGATATGGAATATATAAGTTGACTTGTATTTGTACACTGGTCTTGTACTGATAAAAGTTTCCGTTTACCTTCTTGAAGATGGAAATGAAAGCCCTTTGTGCAAACCGCTTGTCCAATTTTTCATCTCTCTTTAGAGGAACTCTTTGCATCACGAGGTACTGGTTTTTTTTTCCTTTAATTTCCATTTCTGTCTTCAGTTTTTAAAATTACTGTTACAGAAAAGCAGAAATCTTTGTTCCTGTTGTTCTTTTGTTCATATGTTTTTGGGGTGAATGATAACATGGGTGCTACTATGTTAAATTATATTCCAACTCAGTTTTATTTATTTATCTAGAGAAGGGGAAAGGGAAAGGGAAAAGGATTGGTAATGCTAAGTTAAACCACAAAGAAGCTTCATTTTAAGATCTTGCTTAAGTTATTTGGTCAAAAAGGAAATTGCTTATTCTGTGCTATCACTTTTTTTTTTTTTTTTTTTTTTTTTTTTTTTTTTTAAATACTGATATTCTCTCTGTTTTTATTTTTCTTAGCTCGAGCATTGACACCTTTTATTCTTCTGCAGGACTCGACTTACTTTTCCTGAGAATCTCTTGTGCCAAGCAAGCTTGGTAAGCTTGCCGTTGTTCTTGTAGTATACCATTCATATAGAAGCTAAACTTATCCGTATTTACATGTCTTTGTACTCCTTTTAGTATTAACACCATGTTGTGATATAAAAGCAGCTTTTTTCTTCTGGAAATGAATCATTCGCACCACAGTATTGCCTCCAACCCTGTTAGCTGCTGAAAAAGAAGAAGCCAATTCTGTGTTATCCTTTTCTTGAAGAAACACGGTCTGAGCAAGGTAGCTGCTGCAAAAACCATCACTAAATCATCTTTTCATCGACCACCTTGTCTCAAGGCTTCATTCGTTCATAATCTCGGTACTTGTAGGTTCGATTGCAATAAGTACTGGTTATTTTGCTATTGTTTTCAGTGTTTTTTGTTTCTAATTCTTTTTTTTTTTCCCACCAATCAAAATTTGCTTGCCATACGGAAAAGAGCTCACAACTCTTGAGATCAGGAATACCCTTATTCCTTATATTGAATCTCTTCTTGTAGAGCATGGAAACAGTGTTGTAAATTTTGTGGAGAACTTTCCATTATACCTGTCAAAGACAAGCGAGCTGTGTCCCGTCACTCTTCAACACCCTTCCACCCTTGACTCCAAGAAGCCAAAAGGGGTCTCTAATGCTCCTGTTAAAGAAAAGACAGTTTCTCAATCCTTTTCTGCTCCCCTTGACTTCAAGAAGCCAACGGTTGTCTCTAATGGACCTAGAGAAGAAAAGCCAGCCGTGTCAGTTTCTCAATCTGGTTCTTCTCTGGACTCTAAGAAGCAAAAGGCTGTCTCTCGAATGATTGAGGTTGGCACGGTTGGAGATTTACAACCTCATTTCCTCTACCTCTTAGAGCTTGGCATGGATCTTGAGCAGATCAAGTTAGCTACAAGCAGATGTCCTAGTTTTGCCTACTACAGCTTGGAGGGGAGAATCAAACCACTTGTTGAGTTCCTTCTTGATCTTGGGGTAGCTAAATTAGAGATTCCTAAAATTCTTGTCCAAAGGCCTCATTTATTTGGACTTAGTATATCTGGTAAAATTATACCCGTCATGTTATACTTAGAAGACATGGGTGTGGACAAGAAGCAGTGGGCAAAAGTTATATTACGCAGCCCAGGACTTCTCACTCATAGCAGGCAGAAGCTTCAGGCAGTTGTTAATTTCCTTAATGAGGTTGGCTTATCAGGTGATAGCATAGGTAAGGCCTTAACTCGGTTCCCAAAAATTGTAACTTGCAGTGTGGAAGACAATCTGAAGCCTGTGAACAAATTTTTCTATGAAAAGGGATTCAGTGTGGAAGAAGTGAAGTCCATGGTGTCAACATTTCCATCTATATATTCTTACAGCTTGACGGAGAGCTTGATACCGAAATGGGAGTTCTTTTTGACCACGGGTTATTCAAAGTTGGCGCTAGTTAAGTTCCCTCAGTATTTTAGTTACAGTTTGGAGCAAAGAATCAGACCACGTTTTGTACTTGTGAAGGAGTTAGGAGTGAAAATCGGGCTGAACCGCATGTTAGCAGTATCGTTCTGTGACTTTGAGAAAGTTTTGGAGACGAGCAGAAAGAATATGCTTGCTGACGAGCTTTCCAGTTGTCCAAAGAGCAAGTAATGATCTTCGGTTAGGAACTGGATTCTATGACTTCTAAGCGGAGTGCCCAGTAGAATGAAGCATGGTAATGGTACAACTACGTGATCAGAACTGTATTTTATTACTTTACTAATTACTAGGGCATTTCTTTGCACTGTTTTGAAGAATAAGAAACATTTGAAGCACAAAGGCAAGCGAATTTTCAGGCTAGGACTTTGGGAAAATTTTGAAGATGGTTACCACATATGACATGACTTCTAGTCACGAGAAAAACAAATTTATATGACTGGCACATCGTATCATCCGTTAAATAAGATAGTCTCACCAAATCACTACATTGACATGAAAGTATTATCTAATTATAATTAAAATATGAAATGTAAGGGTCGTAAAAGAACCCTTCTTTCCTTCTTGCTTAGATTTTTCCAATATTTTTGCCTTTTTTCAAGTGTAATGCATAGAATTCTTTTTTTTTCTTAGTTCACTACAAGAGAGAAAAAACCGTGAAAGGAAAGATGATTTTACATTTTACGAGATAAAAAGCTAAAATTTTAATGACAAATAGAGCCTAGGGTCATTTGTTTTATTATTTCGGATAGGATTTTGGGAATAATATTAGGTAGTTGAATAGAAAAGTATTACGAGGTAAAATTAAAAAAAAACCCCTTAAGTTTGCTAATTTAACTAAACACCCCAATATATAATTTTTTTTATAAAATAACAAAAAATATTCCCATCACCCGCAGTGCTAGATTCTAGCCACTATCGTCGGAATCTGACCAGAAAATTGCGTTACGACACAGACCAGTCGGATCTGGAGGATAGGGCGTCGATATGACCTTTTTTGGCCAGATTCACCACAAATCTGGCTAAAAAAAGCCAGATCTGGTCGTCGACGGCCGCAAAAGTCCATCTTTGACAGTCGTTGTCGGTCACTAACGACCAGGCTGTCACTGACGACCAGATCTGGCTTTTTTCGGCCAGATTCACTGTGGATCTGGTCAGAAAAGGTTAGATCGGTGAATTACTGGCCAGTTCCGGTCATGGTGTAGGTCGTTGTGACAGATTCTGGCTACCACCGACGGTGGTTGCTGGAATCTAGCAAGTATGGGTTTAGGAAGTGTTTTTGTTAATTTTTAAACCTTTTTTTCTGGGGGCATTTATGAAATTAATAAACTTAAGAGCTCTACAGGTAATTAAAAAAATACACTAATATTTCTCAAATAATATGCCAAACAATATTTGGAGAATAGATTGGGAATATGGGTAGAAATAATGTGTCAAATACACCCCTAATTATCTGGAATTTTAGAAGAATCTCTTGCATTGATATGAAAAAAAAAAAAAAAAACAACAAATTAACGAATAAAATGTAAAGCACAAGAAAAGCTTTACCTTTATGCTGCGTTTTTAATGAAGATCGAATTGTGCTGTGTTTTCTCTTGAAGGATGAAGCAGAGAGCATTTTCTTGGGTCTGAGATCCAAAATTCTGGTAATTAACATAATCGGTAATTAATATAATGGGATTACCCTTGATCCAACGTGGGAAAATTCATTATAACCCCCATTTGTTCATAAAATTTTCAATCTTAAACCTTACTCCCTATTTGCATATGCCATTATGTTAAATTGATGTTTGTAGTTTGTAGGGTAAAATTACGGTTTCACAAAAAAATTTGAGGGGATAAGTGGTTATTGTTGCTTGTAGTTTGACCATCATCAAAGAGTATGTCCAATGACACCAATATCTAAACAAATGTTAAAAGGAGGTCATAGATAGTTTTATAACTATAAGGGGTGTTTTAGACGTTTCATCGATAGTCATAGTAAAATCTCAAAATCATCCCAAAACAAAATAAGATAAGACTTCGCTAAATCCAGTGTCAACCCTAGAAATAGAATATATTATTACCTCCAAACATTAGACAAAACTCCTCAATCCTCACTAAGTGAGAGAAACTGAGAAAGAGTGAAGTGAAGGGCTTCGCAGCTGTAGATTAGGCTCCACAATTGCTCCATGCGGGTAAGATCTGCGTTCTTTATTTTCATCTCCAATTTTTTTTTTTTTAATATTTAAAATATAGATGTGTATGCAAATTGGCTTGAAGTTGAGTTGAGCTAAATATTTTCAGTTCCTTTTCGTTAACATTATTCACTACTGCTATTTTGTATCTGGGTTTGTCTTTTCTGTAAAATTCATGGACATTCCTTTGATCAAAATGAGTTCTTTATGTTTTTCCTCTTGAAGGTTTGTGTTTTTTCAAACGTTTATTGCTGAATTAAGAATGTAAAGATTGACATTTTAATGGGGTTGAACCGTGATAATACTATTCAGGAAAGTGAGAATTGAGAATGTTAACGTTTATGAGCAATGCAATGTATGTTACTGAAATGATATTTGTGTAAAAATTTATTTGTTCTTGTACAAATTTGATGATTTTGCACATTCAGATTACAGTATGATGATTTGTGTCGCGTGGTGAATTATTCCTGTTGTTAGATATGTTTGAGTGGTGGGAATATTTGTGCTCGAGCATTGACGTCCTTTTATTCTTCTGTAGGACTCGACTTACTTTTCCTGAGAAACTCTTCTTTTTCCAAGCAAAGCTTGGTAAGCATGCTGTTCTTCCAGTAGTATAACATTCATATAGAAGCTAAACTTATCCGTATTTACATGTTCTTGTAGTCTTTTTAGTATTAACACCATGTTGTGATATAAAAGCAGCTTTTTCTTCTGGAAATGGATCATTCAACTCCGTAGTAATGCCTCCAACTCTGTTAGCAGCTGAAAAAGAAGCCAAATCTGTGTTATCCTTGTTCTTGAAGAAACAAGGTCTGAGCAAGGTAGTTGCTGCAAAAACCATCACTAAATCAGATCTTCTCATCGATCATCTTGTCTCAAGGCTTCATTCTGTTTATAAATCTCGGTATCTTGTAGGTTCGATTGCAATATGTACTGGTTATTTTTGGCTATTTTATCTTGGATCTCGGTGTCTTTGTTCCCATGCTAATCAGTTTTACTTGTTATTGCAGGAAGAGAGCTCACAACTCTTGAGATCAGGGACACCCTTATTCCTTATATTGAATCTCTTCTTGTAGAGCATGGAAACAGTGTCGTAAATTTAGTGGAGAACTTTCCTAATACACCTGTCAAAGACAAGCGAGCTGTGTCAGTCTGTCAACACCATTCCACCCCCAACTCGGAGAAGCCAAAAGGGGTCTCTAATGCAACTGCAGAGAAAAGGCAGCTGCGTCAGTTTCTCAATCCTTTTCTGCTCCCCTTGACTCAAAAGAAGCCAAAGGTGGTCTCTAATGGACTTGGTGAAGAATGTCAGTTTCTCAATCTGGTTCTGCTTTTGACTCTAAAATGCCAAAACCTGTCTCTCGAATGATTGAGGTTGGCG